ATTGCTTCTTTGTATTGTCAACATGATGAGCATGTTCGGCGTCTTTTTTGCATTGGAATCTGTCCATTCTACTTACCTGCTGAAGCGCGTGTAAACCCACCCGGATGCTGTGCCGGGAGAGTGTGAGCACGTTTTACAGTTACGAAGTGACCTGTTTGTGTATGGAGTTGGACTACGGAGCGTATACATCCGCCAAGTTGTTGGAGAGGCAGCGGTGATGTCGTATCAGGACGATCAATACGATGATGATCGGAGAAGGTATAATCGCGACGAGCAAGACCGTAGCTATCGTGGAAGGAGCCGCGATCGCGAGCAACAGCCACAAGACCGTGGCGAACCAAAACGTGAATTCCGGGAACGACCAGCGAGTAGCCGTGATGAACGAAATGAAGTGGGCGATGCACCTCGACGCACGCAACCTGTGGTGTGCTTCGGCTGTAAGGCAGTGGGTCACTACCGCAGCGACTGCTGGCGTTTGTGGACTAATCCAGAAACGCACAGGCAATTGGAAGCTGACGGCTACCACTGCCCACAGGACTACCAACGACGCGGGAGATCGTCTTCGCCGCGACGTAACCCGGCTATGAGTTTTAAACGATCACCATCGGAGGAGCCTAAGACTGCAGCTCGTACGGCGGAGCTCGAGAAGGCGGTAGAAGCCATGAAGTCCTTCATTGACGCTGAGATGGCCCGCCGATCTGCTAAAGAGAACAAGAAACTTGAGAAAGCAGAGGCTAAACAGCGCGAAGAACAAGAGCGTTTAGCCCGGGAGGAGGTGAAACGTCTAGAAGATTTGAAGAATCTTTAGAAGCTGGAGAAGATACGGAAGCAGGAGGCTGACCGTGAAACTATGGCTAAGGCAGTTGAGATATCGGTGGGACTGCGCTTCAGTACGGTCGACGGCCGTCTGAAGAATATTGTACGGGAAGTGATAACCGAAGGACTCCTACCTCCGAAAGACAAAGGCAAGGGACCGGAGGCGATTGCATCCACATCAGGTTCCGCAAATGCCAGTGAGACTGAAGGCATCACCAAGAGTACGGAAGGGCTGCAGATTACCGAAAAACGTAAGCGTGGTGAGGACACACCGATCGGAAACAGCCCACCGGTGACAACACCAGCGAAGCGCGTCACAAGACGGACAGCAATGAAGCCACTTCGTTTAGCTGAGAGCTGCAGACTCGACCGGTTCTGAAGAAGACATGCACGGTCCGATTGAATCGAAAGGCGATGACCGTGGTCAAAGCATCCAATCGGGATGCGACGATGGAGCGAATGCAGTTCCTCGAAGCCCAAAGGAGGGAGCTCATCCCCATCCACCACGACGAGATCCACTTGATATGCGCCAAGGAGGGCATACCATACAAGACCAAACTCCAGGCCATCTTCGACATCGCTGATCGTAGAGCGGAGCTGAAATTCGACACCGAAGTAAGGGTGCCTCAGACCATCGTGCTTGAGTCCGAAACTGCCGACACCTCGAACGATGAAGAGGAGGAGAGTGCATGAACTTCGCTGTCGACTGAACAATGGTGTGAAATCTGTGAACGGGTCGTAGAATTCCGGATGCAATGGACGACAGTCGACGGTAATGTCGAAAGGATTTACAACTTGCTTGCAATTTGGTTAGCTTTGAGAGGATTCGTTCGTTGGTTAGACAAGTGTGTCCCTGCATGGTTAGATCTATTCTCTAAGAAGGGCTTAGATTTCCTCGAATCTGCCGGTTGCGTGTACATAATCACATCGCCTACCTATAAGCTACAGTACGTTGGTCAAACGTCAAGGGAACCGATGACCCGTTGGAGAGAGCACCTTTCAGTACTCTCTAACCGACGGAAATCGACGCACTTGTACCGCTGGTGGGAAGCTTTTGGAGAGAAGACCTACACGTTAATACCAGTAGACAGTTGTAC